TTAGCTAGAAGCATCTGCCAGGAAGAACGTGCCACTGGCGAAAAAAACCTGCGGGGGGAACTGTGCGAAAAACGCATCCTCTTACCGGCAGCCGGTACGCTTTCGACTAGGTTATTCGATAACATAATAGTTTGGCAACATGCTTTTGAGGCTAATTGAGTGATTGTGATTTGAGGAGTGAGGCTAAATGAGTGACTAAAATTCAAAGTGAATGCAGGCATCCCGTCATTTAGCTTTTCTCGTAGTTTCACAAGCAGTTTTCGAGAAGAAAGATTATTATCAAGTTTGTGAGCGGCCGTTTAACTGTGTCGTCACTCCGGGGCCGCAGATTTGCCCGTATGTGTGCCGTTCATCACATCCAGGCAACAAAATGCTGAGCTGCGCCGAGAGCTTTTGCCCTTTCTTTCCTCCTTTTCCTTCTGCTCCGCCTCCTCGAGAATTCGAATGTTACTAATTCGTAACTCTTTTGCATTGAGAAACGAGGCGACGGCGATTCGCTCACGTACGTTTGTTGTTTTCATTGAATTGCTGCGTCATAATCCTCATCCATAATTCATTTTTTTTTTTTTTTAATGTATGGAGACTCTCGAAATTAGCTCAGATAGTAAAACATTTTGAGAAAGACTGCAGTACTTCATCCAGTTGAAGTGATCTAAGCAGAAATTAAATCCAAATTACGCAACAGTTGATGTACCTGACTTTTTAATGGGTTGAACCGTGTTGATTTTTTTGAATTGATCTAACTTGAAATCTAATGACTTAAAAATCTGAAAAATCCAAATTAAAAATTTTTTGGGGTCAAGCAAACTGTCAAGCCCAGTAAATTACATCTTATTCTTAACATAATCCTGGGTAAAGTGCCGAACTCCTGATAAACGGTCACACCGGAACCCATTTTTTTTACCTCGTCATTCCGGCTTCGTCTAAAATCTTGGTTCGACTCTAAGATGGCTTGGAAACTTGGCAAAGGTCTAAGGTAGCTTAGAATCATGACTTAGCTCTAAGATATCTTGGACCATCGTTCTGAATTCTCTTCCCCCAGACTAGCTCTGTTGACAGCAACATCGTTTTGTTTCAATGAATTAAATCTATCTCATTTTCTCCGATTATTGGTTTATGATGCTAAACAAGAAATTAGACGTTAGATGGAATTTGGAATCTTGGCTTAACTCCAAGAACTCAAGATTAATTCTGTTGGATGGGTTGAACTTTTAAACACAAAAAATGCATTCAAGTTACATCGAAAAACCACAAAATTTATTCGCAGTTCCATAGTGCTTCGAAGATAGAAAGTGTGTGTGCTTGTTTTGTGTTATTTGTGAACAGATGGATGCTGGAAAAAAGAAACGGCAGAGGTATTGCC